CATTGTTTTTATAGACAAGTATGAATTATAATTTTTTATACACAAAGTACGAATAATATTACATCTAAAAGGCTAATGCAATGTATATATTTATACTTGATTAATGTGACTTTGAAGCCTTTCCTCATATCTCTTCTATGTAATATGTAATCTTCATATTCTTCCTTGTAATGTCATTCCTGATATTGAAAAAAATTAAAAAATAAACCAAATTTATCAAGTTAATAAACCAATAATTTAACTCATAATTTTACTTGCTGAACTGAATGCCACTAAAGACCCACTAGAAAAATTTTGTCTTTGATGTCAAGAGGTCTTCTTGAGTAGCAATATTCATCAAAATAAGATTTTAATGGTCACATCATGAGGAACATAAACTCATATTGGATCCTGAACCATTTTTATCAAAATTAATAACTTTAAAACAAGGTTTGAAAGGACCTTGTAAAATAAAAAAGTACAAAATCCTAAAAAATTATTAGCAGTTTTTTTTTTTAAATTAAAAATATTTTAATATAATCAAAAGGTAACTGTTGTCATCTAACAATTTAAATTAATAATATATCTTGTACAAGAGATATCTTTTAGGAAAAAAATGATATGTATCATGTATATAAAACAAGTTGTAAAAGTAACACTATTATGTTACAAGTTTTTAATTTTTGGCATATAACATTAAAATTTACACACCTGGATTGTTGTGCATATATGATATGGTCTTGTTCAAATTTCCAAGCCAAAGTTTCTTAGCAAATGTTATATGCACTGATTTCAACAATGGTGTATTAAGATCATCTCTCAAAAATGTTTTCATACTTGGAATATTGTTCACCCTCACTGTTTGTAAGTTAGGCCAATTAAAACATACTCCTTCCTGACAAAAGTTGACAAGCTTTGGAAGATCCTTGAGCACAAGACATTTCATTTTAGGGAAAATGGTAGACTCTTTTTCACCTTTATCACTAGATATTACCTCTTCTACTTTCTCACAATTACACAATCTGAGTATTTTGAGTTTATCAAGATTTTTGGCCTGAGAAAGTGAGAATAAGCTTTTAAGGCAATGGCAATGAATAATGAAAAGTGAAACCAAATTAGGGAAAAATGGAACTTGAGGTTCCTTGTTCCAGAAACATGTCAAATTACTTAGGTTACTCATTGCTAACACCCTTAGTTGAGGAAGCATTTCTTGGTTATCATGAATTGGTTTGCCACCTTCAAGGATAAATACCTCATTCAATATGACGACCGAACCTCACTGGCCGAAGAGCTTTCAGATGAAGTAGCCATAGAAAGGATCTGCTCGGTTGCCTCGGCCTCAAACTTGGCAGCAGCCTCCTTCAACCGAGCGATCTCGTTCGCCGATGCGACGGCATCGACTTTCATTTTTTGCACAGCCAACTTCAAGTCGTCGACCTCCCTTCTGTAGGCGTCGGCAGCCTTCTTCAGTTCTTCAGCCGACTCGGTTAACTTGGCGTTCGTAGCCAACGCCTCCTTCATTGTGGACTCGGCCTCCCTGAGTCGGCCATAGATCCTCTCTTCGGAAACGGCATGCTTGTTCATCACGTGTTTGGCAACGAGGGAGGTTCGAGTATCAAGCTCACAAAAAAGCTTATATGCGGCCTCGGCAGACATACCCTCCAAATATTGCAACCCGCCTCCAGTTGCAAGGTCCAGGCTGTCCAGGTTCTCGGTTTGTACATTAGGCGCGAGGAAGTTCGACCCGGCGACGACAGCAGGAATGGCGAAAGGACTGCAGCCCGATTGCTCCAGGGATAGTTGTTTCGGGCGTTTGCTAGAAGAGCTCGGACGCTTCGGCTCTATATTGTGCTCGGAAGCCCTCACCCGAGAAGTGCTACCTTTCTTCCTGGCATCGGCCAGGGGAATGATCACGTTGGTCGGCTTCTCCCGTGGATTCTTCAAAGCCGACCTCGCCCGCAATCGGTGTTCATGGTCGGCCAGTAGTATCCTGCCCGCAAAAGTTTGTTGACGGTTGACCTCACTCGTGAGTGCATTCTGCAAATGCCCTCGTGTACTTCTCTCATCACATAGTCGGCCTCGGCGGGGTTTAGGCACTTGAGGAGCGGGGTCGAGAACCCGCGCTTGTATATCAGGCCTGCAATGACAACATACCTGCTAGCCTGCGTTCTTAGCCATTTGGCCTCGGTTGGGTTGGTCGGGGCGACGCCATTGATGATAAATGCCTTGATCTCGTCTCGCCAGTCGGACGAGTTGCTCTTGCCGGGGAGCTCGGAATTGACGCTTGCTACGATCTGTTCCTCGATGCTCGGGTGGTCGATTTCTTGCTGGATAATGGTTCTCAGTTGACCTGGCTTCTTGGTCACGGCCAACCTGGCCAACTGGTCGGCTCGGGCGTTGTCCTCTCGCGGGATATGCTCGACTATCACCTCTTGAAAGTTTTCCTTCAACATTTGGTAAGCATGGTAGTACTTCATCATGTTATGGTCTTTTAGTTGGAAGCTACCGCCCACCTGCTCGGCGACTACCTTCGAATCGGTCAAACATTTGACTCTCGAAGCGCCCATGTCCTCGGCCAGTCTCAGTCCGGTTAATAAGGCTTTGTACTCGGCTTGGTTGTTCGAAGCTTTGAACCGAAAATGGAGGGATTGCTCCAAGACTATCCCTTTGGGTCCTTCTAGGATTACTCCTACTCCGCTCCCCTGGCAATTTGAAGAACCATCCACGTGGAGGGTCCACCAATGCTCTTCGAATTGACTGTGTGGGTGAAGTTCATTCACTAAGTCGGCAAGGCATTGGGCTTTGATCGGTCCTCTCGGCTTGAAAGTAATGTCAAATTGAGAAAGCTCCACCGACCAAGCCATCATTCTCCCCGCTAGTTCGGGGCTTACCCAAAACCTTAGAGATCGGACAGTCGGTATGCACAACTACTCGATGGCTCTGGAAATAATGCCTTAGGCGTCGAGACGTGTGTACCAAGCCTAGCGCTGCCTTTTCTATCAGCTGATACCGTGTTTCGGGGTCTTGAAGTAGTCGACTCACAAAGTATATGGGGACTTGGTCACCCTCCTTTTCTTGTACCAATATCGAGCTGATAGCTTCCTCTGAGACGGCCAAGTATACTTCAAGTGGTCGTGAGGGATCGGGTCTCGTCAGGATCGGCGGTGATGCCAAGGTTCCTTTTAGCTCGATGAAGGCTTTTCACACGTTTCATTCCATGAGAAGACCGACGCCTTTCGTAGGAGCTTGGTCATCGGGCTGATCTTATCGGCGAGGCGAGGGAGGAAACGGGACAATGTAACCAGTCTTCTGGACAATCGTTGCGTTTCCTTAAGATTGCTTGGGCTTCGCATGTCTAAGACGGCTCAGCATTTATCCCGGTTTGCCTCTATTCCTCGGGCAGACAGCATGAATCCCAAAAATTTGCCCCCTTTAACCCTGAAAGTACACTTCTCGGGGTTGAGTCTCATGTTATGCTTTCGTAATTCACCAAATATCTCGGCCAAGTCTGTTAAGTGGTCGGCCACCGAGTTGGATTTCACCACCATGTCGTCCACATAGATTTCAATGTTGCGCCCTACTTGTTCCCGAAACACCTTGTCCATTAACCTTTGGTAGGTCGCTCCGGCGTTTTTCAATCCGAACGGCATGACTTTGTAACAGAAGTTGGCATTCTCGGTGATGAAAGCTGTCTTTTCTTCGTCAGCTGGATGCATCTTTATTTGGTTGTAGCTGGAATATGCGTCCAGGAAGCTAAACACCGCGTGGCCGGACGCTCCATCCACGAGTCGGTCAATACAAGGGAGAGGGTAAGCATCTTTAGGGCAAGCTTTGTTGAGGTCGGTGTAGTCGGTACACATTCTTCACTTTCCGTTCGCCTTTCTAACCAACACCACATTAGCTAGCCAGGTGGTATAAGTCACCTCTCTGATGAACTGTGCTTGTAGCAATTTTCGTACTTCGGCATCGGCAGCCTTTCTCTTCTCGTCTCCCATTTTTCTTTTCTTTTGGGCAACTGGTCGGGCATCTCGGCACACAGCCAGACGGTGGCATAGGAATTTGGGGTCAATCCCTGACATGTCTGACGCCGTCCATGCAAACAGGTCATTGTTATCTCGAACCACTCGTTTGATTTGCTTTGAGTCGATCTCATCCAACTAAGACCCCGCGTGCGTTACTTGTTCGGGGGTTCGGCCTAGTTGAAATGGAACAAGATCCTCCGCTGGCTCTATTCTTTCTTCTTCACCCATCCGAGGGTCGAGGTCCAAGTTGTCTGTTGCTTGTTGCCTCACTACATTCACACCTTTCGTCTTCGGGGGGTCGGCAATCGGTTGTACCTTAAGGCTTGAGAGGTAACATTCTCTCGCCGTCTTTTGATCGGCGTGCACGGTTATCACCTGCCCATCCCTGGACGGGAACTTCATGCATACATGAGGGGTCGAGACGATGGCTCCCAGCAAGTTAATGGAAGGTCGGCCCAACAAGATGTTGTACGACGTGTTCGCATGTACCACTATGTAGCGGATTTTGATCTTTCGCGAAGACTTCTGGTCGAAGCCAAAACGAGTGTATAGGTCAATGCATCCTCTCGTCATCACCCTTTCGCTCGAGAATCCTACCAACGGCTCGTAATACGGTTCTAGGCTTTCTTCCGGGATTCCCAGTTGTACAAAGGTGTTCCAGTACAAAATGTCGGCCGAGCTCCCTTGATCGACCAAGGTCTTCTTTACAATGCAGTTCTGCATTTCAACTGAAATCACCATGGGGTCGTCCTGAATGGGATCAACGCCACAGAAGTCTCGGTCGGAGAAGGTTATAGGCGGCATCCTCGGCGTCCTCGGCTGATTCACGCTATTTACTAATCGTACTTCCCGGAGGTGCCTTTTTCTGGCGGAGGACGTGGAACCACCCCCGACAAAGCCTCCGGCTATTGTGTTTATTACCTTCCTCGGCCGGTCAGTGTCTTCTTCTCGGGAGTGCCGTGAATGGTCTCTTCTTTCAGCCGACCGGGATCGGTGGTGTCAGTCTCTCGGTGGTGGCGCTTCCTGATAGCAATGGTTTCTTCCCCTTGACTGGTGGTCTTGGGGGGCGACGAAACTCCCAAGGTGACCTTGCTTGATAAGGTCTTCCAGCTTATCTTTTAGTGTCGAGCACTCTTCTGTCGAGTGCCCCCTGTTCCGACGGAATCGGCATGTCTTGGCTTTGTCGGCTCTAGGAGGCGTGTTTGCCCGTTTCGGCATCACGAGGATTTCCGATGCGAGGGCCTGCTCCATCACCTTTACCCTACTCGCATTGAGGGGAGTATATGTTGTGTAGCGCGGCCCTCTCGGGGGCCGAGCATTTGAGGGCTCGGTATTCAACTTTTTCATTGGTTCTCGGCCGGATTCCTTTCGGTTATAATTTTCCTCGGCCCTGGCTTGGTTTCTGGTTTCAGCCAGCTCCTCCATCTGCATGTACTTTTCAGCTCGGCGTCGGAGATCGTTCATATCAATGGGTAGTTTTTTGCATAGGCTATTCACGAACGGCCCCAGCCTGAGGGCGGTGCTCAGCCGGTCCATCTCCACAGCAGGATTAAGGTCGCCGATCTCCATTGCGATCTTGTTGAACTGGTCTGTGAAGCTTCTCAGGCTTTCCTTCTTTTCTTGGTGGACCCCCGCCAAGGCCAACGAGGTCGTCCGGTACGGCTTGCTTGTCGCGAATTGGAGGGTAAATTGAGATGACAACTCGTTGAACGAGTCAATGGACGAGCTCGGCAATCTCGTGAACCAACTCAGGGCTCTACCTTTCAGCGATGTGGGGAATATTCGACACAAAGTCGAGTCGTCTTGCGTTGAGAGGGTTGCCTGTGTCAGGAAGACGTTTAGGTGTTCATCGGGATCGGTGGATCCGTCGTACTTCTCGATCGGGAGACTTTTCCATTGATCCAACAGGGTTGCTTCCATTATCCTTCGCGAGAAAGGATGTCTTAGAGAGTGGACGCTGGTGTCAGCCTTGTTACCTATCAAAGAGGTGACAGGTGCTCGGGTTGCATGGTCAGTTGGGGCGTGGTATGCTGAATCCTCTTGGAGAGTGGGAGTTGACGGCACGTAAGTCTGGTTCAGGCTTCGGAGCTCAGCATTTTGCCGACGGAGCTCCGCCAGTTCTCGGCATCGGCTTCTCTTTGTCTATGGATGACCGCCATCTCTTTGCACAAGGCACGCAAGTCGTCTTGTAGGTCAGGCCGATCTTGGTTAGCGCTCGGGTGGACTTCTTGTATCACCGGGTCTGGTTGGGTTTGGGGCATTCCATACGGGTATCGTTCTTGGTTGTTCATGGCGGTATTGTTCTTAGTGGGAGGAATCGGTTGAGTCGTTGCTGATTGTCCTTTACGTGTTACTACCATATCTCGGTCTCAGTCGTAGAGTTCAAAAGGGGCTGATAATGTTTCTTCGGCCCCACGGTGGGCGCCAAATGTTCCTGTATCAGGAGACACACTTTAATTAGTGGGTTCGGTCCTAGGTCTTCGGTCTTCTCGTTCCAATCCGGGTAGTCCGAAGTGAGGGGAGGGGTGCCCGCAAAGACACTCCGACGCTCAAGTAAGTACTCGGCGTAATAAATGCGGTAGTTCAAAAGTTCGTTACGTACCTCGAAGGGGGTCTATTTATAGTGTTTCTTGATGGGCCATGATTAGGGATTGGGCCCCGGATAATTAGGGGGATAAACCGGGCTATTACGTAAATTAATCTCTGTGTAATTATCCTAGTGGAAACCCTTGTCTGGGCCGGGCAAGCTGACCCGTTTCTTTCCGTGAGTATTCGGTGTTCCCGGGTCATCGGTTTGGTCGGTCTCGAGCGCACGGCTTCGGTCTATTCGGTTACGTACTCGGGCGGGTCGGACTGTTCGGCCACCATACGGTATATGAAGTAATTTTAATTAAATGGAACATTTATATGTCCTATTTAGAAAAACTTTTTCGTAAGTATTTCCAGGGAACAAATTTAAGATGATATAACTTATATTATACTAAGTCCATAAATTAATTTTAACTTGTGAGAAAAAATTAATTTATTTTATCTTATTTTCTTCTATAAGTAATTGTGCCAAAATAAATATTCAAATTGAGTTCTCATTGGAATTATTTTTGATACACAAAATGTAAAACTAAAATCTAATGTAAAGAAAATCAAATACGAACCACTATAGTCATTGTTTGGTATAATAGATGACATCTAAACATATCTTCCATGTCTAACACATACAACATATACCACATTCATATTGTTAAATTATCACTTAGAGATAGTTAGAAATTGAAGTAGGCGTTGGAGAAGAAAAGGGTACATAAGGAAACAACGAAAGGAAAGAAACAAAAGATGAAGAAGAATACGTGTGTGAAACACTCTCCAATATGATTGCCTACGTGTAACACTTGCAAACAAACACACCATAAACTTGGGGGGATATAGCCAAACTTTGAAACAAAAACCACGTAAGCACTAAGCTCAAAAGTGATAGCTGTGTAGCTTCACTTCCCACAAGTGAAGTGTGGTTCATATTCTTTTATCTCTTTATCTTTCATTCTGCTTTCTTAGCCTCAACCTTCATGATTCCAAAAACCAAATTTGTATGGCAGTAAAATACCCTCTTATTACTTATTTCCAGACATATCAACTTCAATGCCCAAGTTTGTCTTAATTCACCTCTCATTTTAAGATTTAACAAGCAAACACATAACATAATCAGAAATGTCTTCTAATGCAATAAATTCATTATATACAATAATTTATGATTTAATGAATACCAATATAAAATATTAATTTACACGATGGATTATTTATTAATATTTTAACTTGGGGATTTTTAAAAGCTAATGAAATAAATAAATAATCTAGAGTTGGTTTTAGTAAAAGTAGAACAAATAATATCCTTTTTCCTTTATTATTTCTCATAATTTTAGACAGCTATTATCCATCAAATGATACTAGTTCCATTTATTGGAAATTGAATTGAAAACCTCATTCTCTAAAACCAAATATTTCATATTGATGTCGTGTGAGATTGATTGTCCCACAAATATTCTATATCATTGATGATAATGATAAAGATTAGAAGGAAATGAAGGAGCAAGAAAGTTGGAGAATGGATAACCTTTTAGAGATGAAGCTCAAAAATAAAATAAGTTGATAATTTGATATGATGTGCCATTTGAGAGCAAGAACTGAGAGGTTCCCTCTTCATCCATTCTCAGCCGCAAGGTGCATATGCCCAGTTTCTCCCTCTTATCTTCCACATGTGACACCACCTGGCCCCACCTTAGCATTTCGTTGGTTCTCCCACGCTCTTGATCATAAAAATTAATATTTTGCATTTTTACTTTTATATAATAATAAGGTTCCAAGAACTCAACACACAACTCTTCCTTTCTTCCTTCTGCCATATTCCACAGAAACTGTCTAAGGATCCTCCTTCCCACGTATACACACTTACTCTCATTTTCAACTCATGTGCACATGCAAATACATATATTATGTTTTCTGTGTGTTTTAAGTTGGTTCTTTCAATTCAATATTTGTGTTATTCCCTTTACTATAAGTTTGGCTTTGGAAGTGGAAAAATCAAGTTGGGGTGATTAGTATGCACAAAGTTTTTTCATGGGTTAATTTGGTTTTTGGTTTGCAAATTACAATCCAAAGCAGCTATTACCTCTAGTTCTTAATTCAACAAATTTATTATGATTTGTTTCTTCTTCATGTCACGTTGAGGAGAAAAAAGGGGGAGTTTCCAACTAGGATTTTCTGTTACAAATATCAGAAACTCATTCTTTTGGAGGAAATCACTTTCTAGGACTTCCTCCTGATCTTGCTATTGAATAAGAGTTTTCTATCCTTGTAATATCACATTATAAATGTTTTAAAGTACGCTGATTTTTGTTACATCTTTCTTATTATTCATGAATTCTCTGCAAAGCAGCGAGTTCAGTTGTGCATCAATTCTAATGTAATACTTCTTCTAGTACAAGTTCAATTTTTCTCATTAATTGCATGAAAGACACCAAGCACAATTTAAATATCAAACTTGAAAGCAGAAGAAAGCTGTTGATGAAAAATAATTATTAAATTTACATTTTTAATTATTTTATTTTATTATGTTGTTGTCAAGGCCACCAATACATTTATAAAATGATAAACCTAAAACACCAACTTTTGTCATCTCAACTTGTTCTTACTTAACCTTCTCAACGTCCAAATTTTAGAGCATGTAAAGGGATTTTTTATTGGTAACTCATAATTTCATTAAGCAGTTTGCACAGTTTGTTCATGTCTCAGTTACAAATTTCCTCAACCATGGAATAAAGAAACAATAAATCAGTAGAGTACATGCACCAAGTTTTGACCAACAATTCAGAAGGTTGTTAAGACTAATTAACTTTTTGATGGATTTTTCTATAGGAGATACTTTGGTGGGAAAATTGAAAGAGAAGGTTGAACTTTGAAGGAAGAGAAGATGGATTACTTCAATGCACCAGGAAAGAACCATCTGTTTGTTCCGGGGCCAGTGAACATCCCGGACCAGGTCATTCGGGCCATGGCCAGAAACAATGAAGACTATCGTTCTCCAGCTATCCCAGCTATGACAAAAACTCTGCTTGAGGATGTCAAGAAGATTTTCAAGACTACTACTGGGACCCCTTTTCTCATCCCTACAACAGGTATAAACAAACCATATTACAGAAAAGTGCTAACAAAGCTCTATGCTAGATAGACTATTTCAATACAGGTTTACTATAATTTTTAAGGATTTTTCTATGAATTAAAGGATTTTTTTTTTATTCAATAGAGAAAACTCTATTCAATTTATATTCAAACAAATTTATAGTCTTTACTATTAGCTAAAATTCATTGAAAATTATAAATCATAAGTGACTAAATCCCTAGCCTTTTTCAATACATAAAGCAACTCAAGTGAATTGCTTCCATTGGAGATATTCTTAACATTTTCAAAGTATGCAAGACAGCCCCTTTTATTTATTTAGATTGTAACAGAGGCTTCTTTACATATTTTGAGAGTCTGAAGTACATCACTCGGAAAGTAGATCCCGTATGGCCCTCCTGCCTCTCCAACCAAAAAGCAAAAAGAGAGAGAGAAAAAGAAAAATGGAGAGATAGAGAGGATGGAGAGAATAGTTGTAGCAGAGGATCCAAATCCCATCTCGGATCCATTTGTTTAGGCTTAAAAAGAGTGATTTATTTCTAAAAGATGTAAGTAGAAGTTGATTTATGTTTAGTTACATTCATAAAGGTTGGAAATTAAGTTGCACATTCAAGGTGCTAATTTACATTTTTTTTTCCTATAGATAACTTTGGAATAAAATGAGTTGTGTGTCACTCACGTGACAAATCTGTCAATTTTTAATGAAAAATTAAGAGGGCCTTTTCTTGTACCCTTTGTAAGGATTGAAATAAATGTTTTTAAACGTTAGGAACTTTCATGAAAGTTTGCTTAGTGGTATACAAGTGGGGTTAAGATAGTATGCATAATATCATAAATTTGAACTTCTTATTATCATTATAATCTTTTTTATTAATAAAAGAAAAAGGTTACATTATCTTTGATGCAATGGAATTGTGTGAAAGGGGAGAGGAGAGAGAGATGATTGTGGAATTGCATGGACGAGAGTGGAAGATAGTTAATGTTTTGTATTTGGTGTAGAAGAAAATAAGAGAGAGGAGAGGAAAATATGTGTGGGTCCCATGTGTTTTTTAATATCCTCTAAAGTGGGAGATTTGAAGGGAAGAATTTTATGTCCTTTTTTATTGTCCAAAAATTAATTGTAAAAGGGTATATTTGTAAATGAATTTATGACATCATTTTAATTTTGTTATTCAAATCCATATATATCAATAAAAGAATTAATCTTCCCTCCAAATCTCTTTTACTTCTCTCCAACCAAATAATTTTAATT